AGAAAGCCCAGCTTTTTCAAACTACCAAATTATCAAGGGACCTTGAAATGCAAAATTCAACATCTACATATGAAGGCTTTTTTACAAACTGGCTGCTTTTTCAAGGAGCATCATTGCCTAGTAACTTCATAAATAATGCACAAAAGGCAAGATGTCTGAAGCAGTGTCTGCCTCACTATTGCAAATATTAATGAAGAACAAAAAAAGAATTCCTCCTTCACCTGGTAAAGGAGTAGAAAGGCAGATGAAGATATTTTTAAGTCCTTCATAGTTGGTACCGTTTTATACTTGCCAACTTGAAGAGGAAGTGTTTTCAATACAATAACCAATAGTCTCACACCTTTCATCCTCATACAATATACTTAGGAGAAATGTTTCATAAAGAAGTATAAATTTTTAAAAATATATACATCAAGAGGTAAGACTGGTTGAATAAGAGTTATAAAACATCTTTTTTTTTTTTCTTTTTTTTTTTGAGACAGAGTCTCACTCTTGTCACCCAGGCTGGAGTGCAGTGACGAGATGTCGGCTCACTGCAACCTCCGCCTCCTGGGTTCAAGCGATTCTTGTGCTTCAGCCTCCCTAGTAGCTGGGATTACAGGCACACACCACCACACTTGGCTAATTTTTGTATTTTTAGTAGAAACAAGGTTTCATCATGTTGGCCAGGCTGGTCTCAAGCTCCTGACCTCAGGTGATCTGCCCACCTTGGCTTCCCAAAGTGCTGGGATTACAGGCATGAGCTACCATGCCCTGCCATCTTAATTTTTTAAAAACTGTTTTTCTACCTCATTTTCTCTAGTATCTCAAACCCAACAATCCTTGCACCCACTGTGCCCTCCAAACCACTTATCCCTTACATGTCACTGCCTTTCCCCATAAAGGCCTCACTTTCCTCTTTACCTAGCCTAACTCCTATGGTCACTCACTCATTGTAATCACTTGTAATCATTGAATTGCATAGGCACTCATCTCCCTGGTCCCTCTCTTGCTGTCATACTTGTTGGGCAAAAATCGTAACTGTGGTTAAACCTAATTGTTTGCTCACTCCATTCCTGCACTCATATAGCTGAAATGTGATGGGAAAAAGCAGCAAATCAAATTTTTTTTTGAGATGGGGTCTCAGTGTGTTGCCCAGTCTGGGCTCAAATTTCTGGGCTCAAGGGATCCTCCCACCGCTGCCAGGACCGAGGCTTGTAGCTGGGACTATAAGCACAAAGCCACTGTGCCCAGCATGACTGATCTAATTTTAATCATTATGACCTTTAACAAGTCCTTAATGTTGCCAAGTTTACATGCTGAGTCCATTCATTGTCCCACTCTCCTAAGGGGATTACTTCTCACACTATTGTCTCTCTTCAACCTCACACTCCACCCCCATCCACCCTTCCAGCTGATGTCTCTGATTTCAACTTCCTTAAGAATATTGAAGCAAGGCTGGGCATGGTGGCTCACACCTGTAATCCCAGCACTTTGGGAGGCCAAGGCAGGTGGATTGCTTGAGCCCCAGAGTTTGAGACCAGCCTGGGCAACACGGTGAAACTCCGTCTCTACTAAAACTACAAAAATTAGCCAGGCGTAGTGGCGTGCACCTGTAGTCCCAACTACTTGGGAGGTTAGGAGATGGACGTTGCAGTGAGCTGAGATCACGCCACTGCACTACAGAGCCAGACCCTCTCTCAAAACCAAAAGCCAACAAAAAAAGAATACTGAAGCAATGCAATGAAAGAGTACTTGTGGAAATTCCACGGCTATATCACTAATATGTCTACAGACATTTTTATTGTCACAACTAGGAACAGCAGTACTATTGGCATCCAGCAAGCAGAGGACTGGTGCTGCTAAAAACATCCTGCAATACACAGGACAGCCCCCACAACAAAGTGTCTAGCCGAAAATGACAGTAGTGCTGAGGCTGAGAAACTCTGCCACAGATGAACTACCCATATTCCTATCTAAAGCCTATCCCTCTGCTAGATTCCTTCCTCTCGTCTACTCCTGCAAGAATCCTCTCCCCAATTCCCCTATATCAAATTTTTGCTTTCTACTGGATCATAAAAGAAAAAGTAATCCCTTAGCCTAACAACTGCTGTTATCTTCTACCCTGTTTTTTTGCTACCTTTCTTGAAAACTCCCCCACAGGGTGGCCCATACTCACTATCTCTAAATATTCTCTTCCCATTCTCTCTTAAACCATGCAGTCAGGCTCTCGCTATCATTTCACAAAAATCAGCTCATTAAGGTTCAGTGGTTTCTACACTATTAATGCCAACAGTTAACCTGTACTCCCTATCTTACTTGACCTATCAATGCCATAGCTCATCACCTGCCCCTTGACACATTTTCCTCATTTGGCTTCCAGGACACCACCCTCCACAGTATTCTGATTTCCTTCTTACCTCAATGGATAATCCTTCTTATTTGCTACATCTTCCCCCAGGCCCTGACTTCTTAACGTAGAAGTGCTCCAGGCCTCAGTACTCAGTCCTTTGGTCTATCTACATTCCCTCCTTTGGCCATCTCATCCAATCTAATGGCTTTAAATTCCATCTATATGTCAATGACTCCCAAATATGTATATCTAGCCCAGATACCTCTTCTAATCTCCAGACTAATATATTCAACTCCTTACTACATATTTCTACTTGGATATTATATGCCCAAAATGAAACTCTCAATATTCCCTACAAGCCTATTCTTCCCTACTCCAACTTTCCAATTGCTCAGGCCAAAAATCAGGACTTATCTTGACTTTTTGCACCCTCTACATACAAGCCATTAGGAAATCCTTACTCTACCTTAAAAAACATATCTAGAATACTTCTCACATCCATCTTATCTGTGGTACTGTATAAGCCTTTTTTAAAAAAGACAGGGTCTTGCTTTGTGCCCCAGGTGGGAGTACAGCGGTGCGATCATGGCCCACTGCAACCTCAAATTACTGGGTTCACACAATCCTCTCGCCTCAGCTTCCCAAGTACCTGGGAGTATAGATGCATATCACCAGGCCCAGCTAATTTAAAAAAAAAAAAAAATTTTTTTTGTAGGGATGGGGGGCAGTCTCACTATGTTGTCCAAGTTGGTCTCAAACTCCTGGGCTCAAGCAATCCTCCCGCCTCAGCCTCCCAAGTAGCTAGGACTATAGGCATGTGCCACCATGCCCAGCTTTTTCTTTTTTTTTTTCTTTTTTTGGTGGAGATGGGGTCTAGCTATGCTGCCCAAGCCGGTCTTGAACTCCTGGGCTCAAGCAATCTTCTCCCACCTCAGCCTCCCAAAGTGCTTGGACTATAGGCATGAGCCACTGTACCTGGTCTCATAAGCCTCTTAACTAATATCCCTACTTCTATCACTGCTTGCCTACAGTTTATTCTCAACCCAGTAGTGAGACTAACTATTTAAAACAGAAGTCAGATCATTTCACTGTTCTGTTGACAATTCTCCAATGGTTCCCCCTTATTTCACTTAGTGAAAAGTCAAATTCCTTATAATGGCTTATAAAACTCCACATAACCTGGTCCCCAGTACTCTCTGCTCTCATCCCTCATCTCTTGCCCCTTTGCTCACTCTACTCTATCCACACTGGCCTCCTTGCTCTTATTAAGAAAACACTTCAAGCTTGCTCCCATCTTAGGGCCTTTGCACTAGCCCTCCCCTCTAAGAGTATCTAGTGATGATATTCGGCCAGGTGCAGTGGCTCAAACACCTGTAATCCCAGCACTTAGAGAGGCTGAGGTAGGCGGATCACTTGAGGTCAGGAGTTTGAGACGAGCCTGGTTAACATGGTGAAACCCCATCTCTAGTAAAAATACAAAAATTAGCCACATGTGGTGGTGCGTGCCTGTAATCCCAGCTACTTGGAAGGCTGAGGCAGGAGAATCGCTTGAACCAAGGAGGCAGAGGTTGCAGTGAGCCAAGATCATGCCATTGCACTCCAGCCTGGGCAACATAGCAAGACTCCGTCTCAAAAAAAAAAAAAAAAAAAGTATCTGGCAATATTCTTTCCTCAGATCACTCATAGCTACTCCCTTACCTCCTTCAAGTCTTTGATAAAGTGACATCAGGGCCACCCTACTACCCCAATCACCCTATTTAAATATACATACAACCTGTCCCTGCTTTGCCCCCTTACTTTTCTTCACAGCACTTATCACCTTCTAACACACTACAAATTTTTGTATTTGTTTCCTGTACTAGAATGTAAGAAAAAATATAAGTGAGCGATTATATACATCCTATATATAGTCATCCAATATCCACTATTTACTATACTTTTGTCCTGTTTCCAAAGGAATTCCCACCAACACTTGGGCTGCATTTCTCCAATCTTCTTCTTTCTCATATATAGATGCAAGATGCTGTCTTATGGAAGCAACCTGGAATAACAAGTATACACGTCAAATCATTTCAACTGACATTAGTAACTAATTAAAATAAGTAGGAAAATTATTCTAAAGTGGCAACTCAACATACTAAGCTGCCAAATAAATAGTAAAAGTTTATCGAGACCACCCAAGTTTTCCTATGAATTTTGCATTTACAGAATATCAAAGTAGTGAACTGAAGCAACACATTTCTGCAATGTGGATTATGGCAAAATACTGTAGTTTAAATGTTAAATTTAGCTTGTATGCTCCTGCATACACGATGCTGGAATTTTCCTGTTTTCAGCTGAAATACCACTTTTACTGATTTTAAAAAATTGTCCAGAGAGCAATATTCGGTTCAGAAAATCAAGTTTTACTTTATAAGCAAATGTCAGTTAGAGTTGTAACATCCTAATATTTACTTGATTTTGCATCATAAAATGCTGTTTGGCACAGAGTTTTGTCAAAAATGAAACTGGATGATTATCTCCTTTAAGGATTTAATAATATCAGATTCTCAAAATAACTGCTCAAGTTTAAAAACCACTGCTCTAGATTTTTACCTGCTCCTCAAATGAAATGACTCTAGGCTGGATCTTTTCCAAGGTGAAGTGATAGATTTCTTTGGCTGTGCTATCAGGCAAGTTAGGGAGATGTGTGCAAAAATCAGTCAGCAACTGCCGCGAGATCACAAGACTGACATTCTCATTTACCACTTGTTAAAAAAAAAAGATAAGAAAACATGAGACACTGATAAAGTGTCATTAAACAATCAACCTTTACTTAAAATTAATACTAACAACAATCTATATTAGTGCAGCATTCAATGCATTATTCAAGGATTTCCATACTCCTATCATTTTATATTACATCATGAGTTTTCCTTATGCTGAATTACTTGATTACACAATGACTACACAAAAACAGTGAAAATAGGCCGGGTGCAGTGGCTCACGCCTATAATCCCAGCACTTTGGGAGGCCGAGGCGGGAGCATCATGACGTCAGGAGTTCGAGACCAGCCCGACCACCATGGTGAAACCCTGTCTCTACTAAAGATACAAAAAAAAATTAGTCAGGCGTGGTGGCGGGCGCCTGTAGTCCCAGCTACTCAGGAGGCTAAAGCAGGAGAATCGCTTGACCCTGGGAGGCAGCGGTTGCAGTGAGCCGAGATTGCGGCACCATAGTCCAGCCTGGGCGACAGAGCTAGACTCTGTCTCAAAATAAATAAATTATTTAATTAATTAAAAAATTTTAAAAACCAGCAAAAATAATGTAACTTTTCTAAGAAACATAAATAATTGAAAAAAAATTTTTAAAGCTGATAATTTTATCTTATTTTTCTACAAAGTGAAGGCACAAAAACACCTATATTTTTATTTATGTGCTTATATCACACCTTGTTCCAAAAAGGAGTTAAAAAAAAAACAGTAAAATAATTTTCATGAAATTTAAATAAAGCAAGTGCTGCCAGTACAGTTATTGCCACTTATACTTTCCCAATAAAAACAATAAATAAGAACTTCAGTGAGCACTAGATGTACTGGCATTATTTATAAACATTTATGAGGTATTATTTTATGTGATTAAGCTCTGGAGCCACACTGCTTCTACCACTACTGATTATACGGCTTCAGACAAGAAACTTAACTTGTCTGTGCTTCTGTTTCCTTATCTGTAACACCTATTTCATAAGGTTATTATGAAGCTTAAATGCAATAATATACACAAAGTACTTTAAACAATAACTGGTAGATAGCACTGAACAAATGTTACTATTGTAACTACTACTATCATTTTAAATGCATCATCCTTCTGAACCATTGCTTATTCAAGTCTTAAAGCAACAATTACTAGGAAAATAAGTGATTCAAAAACTGTTCAGTTGATATAAATGATTTTAACAGTAGACTGCTTTCCTTGGTGGTTTACTGGATTGAAAGCTTATACAAAGATCAAAGTATGTATGTATGTATGTATGTATGTATATGTTTTTTCATTGTTTTTTTCAGACCGTCTTACTGCTGCCCAGGCTGGAGTACAGTGATGCAACCTCAGCTCACTTCAGTCTCGACCACTGGGGCTCAGGCAGTCTTCCCACCTCAGCCTTCCAAGTAGCTGGGACTACAGGCATGTACCACCATGCCAGGCTAACTTTTGCATTTTTTTGTAGAGACGAGATTTCTCCACATTGTCCAGGCTGGTTTTGAACTCCTGAGCTCAAGTGATCTCTTGGCTGGGTGCCATGACTCATACCTGTAATCTCAAAAAAAAGTGCTGGGATTACAGGCATGAGCCACAGTGCCCAGCCAAGATCGAAGTTTATAAAAAGCACTATTCTTCTGCTACTATAGTGCAATGTTCTCAATAAACCACTCCTAACAGTTTTTTCAAAACCATTGCTGGTTTATCTCACACTGGAAGCCATGATTTTTTAAGTCCGTAACCTTTTAAGTTTTAAGGCAGTAACTTTTTAAGGCAGTTGTAATTAATTAGCTTATCACATATTAATTGGAATTCATTATTGGGTAATACTGGATGTGACTGAGAAAACAGTTTCATTACAAGTGTCATTAGGCATTTAAGTTACCATACAAGCTGGTATTACTCAGGGAAATATAAGCAAGTAAGAGTAGTGTATCAGAAAACCTTATTTCTGATCTGGGCTCTGCCAGCTAAATTTCCTTGAAAAAAGTTACTTAATCCTGAGACTTGTCTTACAATATATTATACAGGGATACCTGTACCTATATGGTCTAGTCAAAGAGTTATTAAAAGGAGCCTATGTGACAGGTAATGAGTGTGAAAACACACTGTAAAGCACTATGAGATATCATTAATGATGTGAACTCACTATAAAATTCCAGCCTGAATTTTGAGTAATTTTCAAGATCACTGGATATGTTTGAAGTCAGGTAATGTGGAAAAGTTTCTGGAAGAATGAAAATTTCTAGTTCTCAATTCAACAAACATAAACATTAATAACAGCTAATTCTTACATAGCATTTATTATATGCCAGGTCCTATTCTAAGCACTTTACTAAGTATATTAACTCATTTAATGTCCCAATAATTCTACAGAGTAGAATTTTACTGTACTACAATAATGTACCACAGAGTACATTTTAAAGAGGAAAAGGAGGCACAGAGAGGTTAAATAATTGACCCAAGATTACACAGCTTATAAAATAGCGTACCAGAATTTGAACCCAAACTATTCTCTTCACTATTATGCTGTATTGTCCCTCATCAGCTATTATAATAACAATAACCATAAAAAACTTTAATTGGGATTGTAATTTTGAAGAAAATTCACTGAAAATTAATCAAGTTGTAAACAGTTTAAATTCTAAAATCAATCTCAATGCATATTTAATATTGATAATTTGATATAAAACAAGGCTTGAGAAAACTTTAAAGTCCTAGCTCAGTAACACAAGGCAAGCATGAAACTTCCATTTCACTTACTTGCTTCCACAAAAGCTTTCAAAGCTTCTAGTTGTTCTGCTCCAGATAACTGAATGGCTTTTTCCAGGATCTGACGATACCTACAACAATACCAAATGAATATAATGTTCTGAGGGTACATATTTTTTAATGCAAACTTTGATGTGTATTTATTCATTTCTACTTACCCTGGTTTCTTTCATAGTACTATAGTTTGTGGTTTTCTTTATAGTATATCATAGATTTTTTTTTAAAAAGTTTCTAGTCTATCACAAGAAATATTAAATCTGTAATTATATAAGGTGCCACTTCATCTAGTTTTCAGTATAGTATACCAGAATTTTTTAAGTTTTCAAGTTCATCACAAGAAAGAGTGAATCTATAATTCTGTTACAGAATCTAAGGTGTCACTTTTTCTTGAAGGTTTTATTTTTGAATTTAAACTACAAAGTCAATTTCTTTTCAAATGCCTTGAAAGATAAGCTATATTTCCTCCAACTGTGTAATACACAGACACACAAAAACATTATTTGAGGTGACGCGGAATCTTTTCCTCTTACAGACCTAATGTATGTAGGCTCACCAACAATAGGATAATGTTGACCAGGCAATGAAACCAAACATTAGAGACTGAATGTCTTAGTCTGTACAAAATAAACTTCACCAAGTCAAATGCACTGATAGAATACCATTTACGCTGTCAGACAGGACCTATTTATTCTTTATTTGCATTCAGATCTAATAACTATTCTACCTAATATCTGTGACCACACAAGCTCCACGAGGACAGGCCTTTTTGTGTTTTGTTCTCTGCTACGTAGACAATTATCTCAAACAATTCCTGGCATATCATAAGCACTCAAATATTCAACAGTATTAGTAATGTTTTATTTCTTAATGAGGGGTTAGTATATGAGTGTTATACTATTCTTTTGTTGTTTCGTTGCTGTTGTTTTTGAAGACGGAGTCTCGCTCTGTTACCCAGGCTGGAGTGCAGTGGCACAATCTTGGCTCACTGCAACCTCCACCTCCCAGGTTCAAGCGATTCTCCTGCCTCAGCCTCCTGAGTAGCTGGGATTAGAGGCGCGTGCCACCACGCCCAGCTAACTAATTTTTGTAATTTTAGTAAAAACACGGCTTCACCATGTTGGTCAGGCTGGTCTTGAATGCCTGACCTCATGATCCGCCCACCTCGGCCTCCCAAAGTGCTGGGATTACACGCGTGAGCCACCGTGCCTGGCCTATACTATTCTTTATCTCTTTTGTCTTAATCTTTTTTTTTTTTGAGATAGAATCTTGCTCTGTCACCCAGGCTGGAGTGCAGTGGCACGATCTAGGCTCACTGCAACCTCCGCCTCCCAGGTTCAAGCAATTCTCCTGCCTCAGCCTCCGGAGTAGCGAGGACTACAGGTACGCACCACCACGTGTGGCTAATTTTTGCATTTTTAGTGGACATGGGATTTCCCCATGTTGGCCAGGCTGGTCTCGAACTCCTGACCTTAGGTGATCCGCCCACCTCGGGCTCCCACAGTGCTGGGATTACAGGCGTGAGCCACCACACCCAGCCAATTGTACTATTTTTTAAAAGCAGTAAATACATTTTACAAACCTAATAGCATTGCAATCATTCGGAAAGTCATCCAGAATAGTTACGAAATAAATATATAAAAATAGAGCCTGAACTCATTCAGATTTATGACTTTCATTTTGTAGGGCACACCCTCAAGCTATCACTCAGCATTACTGACTCAACTCATACAAAATTCTCACAACCTTGGTTACCTGATTTCTCAAAACCACAATGAATCAAAGTGACTTTAAGAAAGCAGATAAACGATAGAAAAGATAGCAAATTCCAGAAGAAGAAATAAATTATTCTAAGAAAGCAAGGAAATACTAAGTTTTTAAAAAATTATATTTTCAATATTGCTAAGTTTGAGGGTCCTTAAAAGATAAATTACTTTATGGCCCTGGGCATGCTTTCAGATAAGTCATACATTCAATGGTTTGTTCTCTTTTATTTTTTTCATATTTAATTAAATCAAGGGTTATGGCTAAGATCTTTTACATTTATATCCTCACAGATTATTTTATACTAACAATATTAGATTCAAAGATAATAGTGTCTCACTTATATAAATTTGCTAATTAACCTAAGTTGTTTTGTGGTTGTTATGGTTTTTGTTTGTTTGTTTGTTTTGAGACAGGGTCTCACTCTGTCTCCCAGGCTAGAGTGCAGTGGCATGATCATAGCTCACTGTAACCTCCAATTCCTGGGCTCAAACAATCCTCCTGCCTCTGCCTCCTGAGTAGCTAGGACTACAGGCATGTGCCACCACTCCTGGTTAACTGTTCTTTTCTTTTTGTAGAGATGGGGTCTCACTACATTGCCCAAACTGGTCTCCAACTTCTGGACTCAAGCAATCCTCCCAACTCGGCCTCCCCAAGTGCTAGGATTACAGGCTTGAGCCACTGTGCCCAGCCTAACCTAAGTTTTAACACATAGTTTCATAATCAATCAACTAATCTGTATTGGGAATAGGAAGAAAAAATGAAAACAAACCAACCTAAAAAGGGATCAAAGTTTTACACTCATCAAACTATATAACTTATAGAGGCCTTAGAAATTGCCTACATAAATTCCCAGTTTTATAGATTAATAAATTGAGGGCCAGTCGCAGTGGCTCATGCCTCTAATCCTAGCACTTTGGGAGTCCAAGGCAGGTAAATCACTTGAGTCCAGGAGTTCAAGACCAGCCTGGGCAATGTGGTGAAACCCCATCTCTACAAAAAAAAAAAAAAAAAATACAAAAATTGGCTGGGCGTGGTGGCTCATGCCTGTAATCCCAGTACTTTGGGAGGCCAAGGGAGGCAGATGGCTTGAACTCAGGAGTTTGAGACTAGCCTGAGCAACATAGTAAAATCTCATCTCTACCAAAAATACAAAAAATTAGCCAGGCATAGTGGCACACACCTGTGGTGCCAGCTACTTGGGAGGCTGAGGTGGGAGGATCGCCTGAGCCCAGAAGGTGGAGGTTGCAGTGAGCTGAGATCTTCCCACTGCAACTCCAACCTGGGCAACAGATTGATATCTCATCTCAAAAATAAAAATTTAAAAAATAAAAAATAATAATACAAAAATTAGCCAGGTGTGGTGGCATGTGCCTAGACAAAGCAAGACCCTATCCCAAAAAAAAAAAAAAAGTGAGGTACAGCACTGTGGCTGCATGCTCCCTTGCTTCTCTAATATGTAAATTCCAGTATCTAAGAACAGAGATTACTTTTGCACAATAAAAACATAAAATGACTAACAAACCTGTTTTAAACTAGGAACTTAAACAGAAATTTAATATTGCCATATAAAATCATCCCAAAGTGCTAATTGAGTCCTTAGGCATTTTAAGATGCTATATGAGATTCTGCGTATGATACTGAAAAGTTTTTAAATGACCTTAGTCTTTGAAGATCTTATGGCTGAGAAGACAAAGGGGAAGATTAAAAATAAAAAGTTAGGCCGGGTGCAGTGGCTCACGCCTGTAATCCCAGCACTTCGGGAGGCCGAGGCGGGTGGATCACGAGGTCAGGAGATTAAGACCATCCTGGCTACCACAGTGAAACCCCATCTCTACTAAAAATACAAAAAATTAGCCAGGCATGGTGGCAGGCGCCTATAGTCTCAGCTACCCAGGAGGCTGAGGCAGGAGAATGGTGTGAACCTGGGATGTGGAGCTTGTAGCGAGCGGAGATCTCGCCTCACACTCCAGCCTGGGTGACAGAGCGAGACTCCGTCTCAAAAAAAGAAAAAATAAATAAAAATGAAAAATAAAATAAAAAGTTAATACGTTAAGTGTTAAATTACAATATGGCCAGGTGCGGTGGCTCACACCTCTAATCCCAGCACTTTGGGAGGCTGAGGTGGGCAGCAGATCACTTGAGGTCAGGAGTTCGAGACCAGCCTGGCCAACATGGTGAAACTCCATCTCTACTAAAAATACAAAAATTAGCCAGGTGTGGTGGGATGTGTCTGTAATCAGCTACTTGGGAGGCTGAGGCATGAGACTCGCTTGAACCTGGGAGGCAGAGGTTGCAGTGAGCTGAGATCCCGCTGCTGCACTTCAGCCTGGGAGACAGAGCAAAATTCTGTCTCAAAAAAAAAAAAAAAATGTATGGAGGAAAATAAGTGTTATTACTAAGGCATTGAACATCTCTCATATCCATTTATCATCAGTGAATTGAGCATCTTTTATGTGTATGAACCAAAGTTCAGTATATTGATTCCTAATTTCTTGGCACTTGAAAGGAATCTGAAGGTAAATAAAGCATGAAAATGTACCACAATCATCATTTAAGATCACAATGGATAGTAAAGGAGTAAAGGTAGGTATTAACAGATCTTCCACTTACAGTAATGGTGAACTAAATGACTGCACCAACCCTCCCTCAAAAAAAAAAAAAAGCCAACACAAAAAGCTGAAACAAACGAAAAAAAAAATTTAATTGCATAAAATCCTAACAAGAAAGGGAAAATGAGGAAAATAAGATAAAACAAATATTCTGTCTAAAGGCATTTGCTGACGGTGGAAAGATGGCTGAGAGGTAGAGTGGCATTTCTTGTAGGGAGGAGAAGGTGGGCTCACTACAAATCTGCTGGAAGCACTGAGAAGCAAGCTGCCATTTCTGGCAGACTAACTAAGCTACACAAATGGGAATGGAAGTTCCATATCTGCCAAAGGAGGAGACACACACTTTGGAAGTAAGGTTACAAATTCTATCCCAAGACCACCCAGGTAAACCAAAAAAATTGTGAAGCCTTGATTCTACACTGTTAGCACTCTCAGGTAATGAAATTTCTCTCTAGAATCAACAAAAGCAACAGACAATCGCAACAACCAAGGACATCAGATACTGACTGGAGTTACCAGAAAGAGCATGATACAATTATGCTTACAATGTTCATGGGGATAAAGACAAGCTTTAAAGTTTCAGCAACAGACCAGGAGTCATAAAAAGTATCACTGGAAAAAAGAACCACCAGAAATTATAGAACTAAAAAATACAACCCAACTTAGAAACTCAATGGAGTACTTAACAGCAGATTAGA